GGGCTAAAGAATAAATCCGAGTGAATCTGAATTGCTTTCGCACTTTTCTAGTAATTTTGTGTGTTTTGCTTATACAGCGCCCCCCCCCCCCACGCCACTTCCGACGGCCTTGCTTACACATTGGTCAACAAGACTACAGGCGAAAACAGCCGCCACTAGACATCACAGGCTGTTGTAGAATGATATGTTATTGCATGACGTCTAAATTTTATTCCATCTCTGAAAGATCAAAATCTAAAGCAATTAGCAATAATGTTCAGATACGGCTTTGAGAGCTCATGTTTTGGAGCAGTTAATTTTGAATAGAACAACCTTCAATCTCAATTATCAGCTGTCGGATGTTTATTAGTCATGTTGGAGTAACTTGGATTTGGTTTTGCTGTTGTATGCTATGGAGGTTGTTGGCCCTGGTGTTACTGCATGTCTACTGATTTTGCTTGTGGTTGTTTTTGGAAAGTATATTTAAGGAAAGAAAGTGCATGATTATAGTGGAGGAAACTACGGAATTGAGCGAGGAAAATGGCAAATTTTAACTTTGGTTTTTAATTCCGAGTCAAAGATTAGCCATGTTGAAATGTTGAACGAGATGTGATTCACGTACGAGAAATTTGCATATTGTATTCACAACAACACATGTCAGGGAAGAGGAATAGGGTTAAGGAAAAAAGAGTGCACGGCCACTGGTTTACTACAGTAACAGCAGTGCAACCCTCCGAGTACTGATTAGAGCCGGAGATATTGAACTTAATTCCTGGACCATTGCAGATGTCTACACAAAATGAGATTCCCGTTTTAGTGACCGCTCGACGGGCCATTTGTAAAGAACTGACTCCGTCACGCACGATCGCACTTATTCCGATTTACCACAATTTTGCCCTACACCGACGTTTTAATATCAACTTTACCGCTTACCTTGTCCTTAATGAATGTCCGTTCAATCAAGTCAAAATCCGCAAATTTTATTGAGTATGTGCGTGATTCGGATACTGATTTAATTGCGTGGACTGAAACCTGGTTAACTGTTGACGACACTGCAGCAAGTTTAGAGATCGTTCCTAATGGTTATAAGCTCATTAATCATATCATGAGCAAGGTCACACTCTCGATCTGGTCATTACACGCCAGTTTGACTCTATTTAACAAATATAGAACATTTTCCGTGTCGATATACTGTTATATCAACACGAGTGGAATTTGGAAAACGAGAAATTGTATGGAAACACGACGCCCGAAGGGCGGAGCGTTTTCATACAATTTCGAGTTTTCCCAACTTCCACGAGTGTTGATATAACTATATATCAGTACGGAAAAAATGTTTTATATTTTTTTATATTTGGATATATATATTTTTTATATTTGGATAAGCAAAATTTCCGTGTTTACAAGTGGCGGAAAATTTCCCGTGTTGTCATCGAGTTATATATCAACACGGCTCTTAGCCAATCAGCGTTCAGAATTTACAAATGATATATTTATCAGTTATAGACCTGAAACGAAGCCCGAGGAATATTTCATCCCGCAG